ACCAAAAAAGTTTACTTTCTCTGGGCACCTCCTCTTCTTTAAGTGAAGAAAAAGAATACATTTCATGTATCAGGTACTAGATGTCCCCCCTACACAATTTCCAAGTTGCCTTCAAGCTACTAAACACTGCCACAGATGAATAATGTATCGAAATCTTTTGTATACACAAACATGTTTAAATTATATCAATTATTATAAACCTTTTCAAGAGAGAATACAAAAAGAGATATGGCAGGGCTTTGTTTATAATTGTCTTAGATTATGGGTGTTTTCCTTTGAACAATAAAACATGTATGATTAAGTATGACTCTTTGGTAGTAGAGATTAATGACAAATATTTCATCTAGATAGATATATATATATATATATATATATATACATATATTTAATAATAATTAGAGGTCTTTTATATACATATTAATATTTAAATACCATAATGAAAGTGTCTTTACTGAACAATAAAGTGTAAACATGTTGTGTGCTTGGCGCAGGGACGTCCCAGCTACCGTTTGTGGAAGCTATCAACGGTGAGGAGGTTTCAAGATAAGAAAACAAATTGCTTGGTAACTCTATAGGTTTAACTTCTGTTAGTTTTGTAAACTCCACTTCTTAGTTCCCTTTTCATCAATTGAAAAAAACAGTTGGAGTATGGGAGCGTATCCCCAAGACGATGCCCACACAACTCAAAATGTTTAGCGGACCGTAATACATTATGAAAAACTTGTGCGGGCCGAAAGAGAATCGGACAGGGGAAAAGCTATTAACAACATAATAATAATAATAATAAAGAATATTTCGTTACTTCGCGGGCCGCAAAGTGGATGGTGGTGAGCCGTATGTTGTGCAGGCCTGCTCATGACCCATGCTTCAGTCTTCAATTCTATTTGGGTCTGAACTGTATTAAATAAGAATAATTTTTAAGAAAGCCGTAGTTTTTTTGGCCCGGAAATCACATCACGCTAAAGCTACAAGTTCCCCAAAGTCGTAGTAGAACAAGTCCCCCCCCCACCACCCCCCCCTGAAATTTACATTGCGCGCCTTAAGGTTTTTGTTTCACAAACGGAAAAAAAAAATATAAAAAATCAAGACACATTTGAAAACAAAATATGGTCATAAACAAAATAAAGCGTTAGAAATTAGATTAGAGAAAGATCTTCACGATATGTCACGTGATCTCGAAGGAGCCAGTGGGTAAACACGATCAGCGACACTGCAGGGAAAGCCACTGTTTAGTAAATGTGGCAGTTCAAGAATGTGTTTGCTGGCCTCCAGAATGTTATCGTCCTAGTCTTGATTCTAGAGACATTGTTTAACGTTAATGTTGACTGTCGCTTAAACGACACTATTAGTGTTTGTGTAGTAGAAACAGCTAGCTTAGCCCCGACATTGCTAATGGTTGTGTAATACACCCAGCTAGCTTTGCCCCGACATTCCTAGTGTTTGTTTTTAATACACCCAGCTAGCTTTGCCCCGACATTCCTAGTGTTTTTTTAATTCACCCAGCTAGCTTAGCCCCGACATTGGTAGTGTTTTCTTTTAATTCACCCAGCTAGCTTTGCCCCGACATTGCTAGTGTTTGTTTAATACACCCAGCTAGCTTTGCCCCTACATTGCTAATGCTGACTAGTACCCCCAGCTGGAGGCCTGTCAATGCCAAGTTATGAAACGTCTAAAAGCTTTCAAGTGGGAATTTTAATGAAAGAAAATTCTAAGGGTGATTGTGTAAACAAATACAAAGTACATGGTTAGATTTCAAGCAGGAAGTTTGAATTTTAAAAAAAAAATCATTTATCATATTTGATTATCTGAAAGCAACAAGGTTCAATGGTAACCGCACTTCATTATCAGTCAAGTACTAACAAAGCCTTCTCCGTGGCTCAAGTCAATGTTTTTGTGATCGAACATCTCTCAATTTTAGTGTGTCGCCTTAAACTATTCATTGGCAACGTCCTCTCTGTTGAAAATCCATTTTTCAGTGTAGCAATGTTAGACCTGAGTCTAGAGTGCTAGCCGTCCTCGTCTTTAATCTTTTCCTATCTCAACAGATTATCTCAACAAATTATCTCAACAAATTATCTCCACAAATTATTTCAACAAATTATCTCAACAAATCATCTCAACAAATTATCTCAACAAATTATCTCCACAAATTATCTCAACAAATTATCTCAACCAACAAATTATCTCAACAAATTATCTCCACAAATTATCTCAACAAATTATCTCAACCAACAAATTATCTCAACAAATTATCTCCACAAATTATCTCCACAAATTATCTCAACAAATTATCTCAACAAATTATCTCAACAAATTATCTCAACAAATTATCTCAACAAATTATCTCAACAAATTATCTCAACAAATTATCTCAACAAATTATCTCAACAAATTATCTCAACAAATTATCTCAACAAATTATCTCAACAAATTATCTCAACAAATTATCTCAACAAATTATCTCAACAAATTATCTCAACAAATTATCTCAACAAATTATCTCCACAAATTATCTCCACAAATTATCTCCACAAATTATCTCAACAAATTATCTCAACAAATTATCTCCACAAACTATCTCCACAAATTATCTCAACAAATTATCTCAACAAATTATCTCAACAAATTATCTCCACAAATTATCTCAACAAACTATCTCCACAAATTATCTCAACAAACTATCTCCACAAATTATCTCAACAAATTATGTCAACAAATTATCTCAACAAATTATCTCAACAAATTATCTCAACAAATTATCTCAACAAATTATCTCAACAAACTATCTCAACAAATTATCTCAACAAATTATCTCAACAAATTATCTCAACAAATCGTCTCAACAAATTATCTCAACAAATTATCTCAACAAATTATCTCAACAAATTATCTCAACAAATTATCTCAACAAAATATCTCAACAAATTATCTCAACAAATTATCTCAACAAATTATCTCAACAAATTATCTCAACAAATTATCTCAACAAATTATCTCAACAAATTATCTCAACAAATTATCTCAACAAATTATCTCAACAAATTATCTCAA